CAATGCTAGAGAAAGCTACATGTGGATGTTTGATTTTGTATGTAAGTGTCACTATAGTAAATGCCTTCTGGATAATATTTTGTATGGGCTGTTTTAAATAACATGTTGATTTTGTTATGTTCACAAATTAATATGAGAAAGTAAGAACCAGAGAATAATTAGCAACAAGGAAAATGTACTCAGGATTTTTATATGTGATAAAAATTTTATAAATGATCTTCATTAATGCTCATGCATTTAAGGAAAAACATTGACTCTCTGAGTCCTGCTCATCATCCTTATTATAGTACATTTATCTACCTTGTTCAGATATGAAAATTCATTAAGTAAAAATCTTGCCAAAAGTATTATAAAACTGACTTTGATTATCTCTAGGGTTGTCAGAACTCTCATCTTTTTAGTAACTGGAAAGATTTTCCCCTGTCCTGTTTTTATAATAGCCTGACTGAGCTTGAAGTTTCTCACCCAGTGTTTTGCCATTTCCATAATAATGAATCTTATTAAAGCTTTTATAAAGGCTTTTCTTTAAAGGTGTGGATAAAATGATGAATTAATAAAAAAGAATGAATCCCTAATTATTAGCAGTAATTGCTGAGCATGTGGTGATACAGGCTTTTGACTACTTCTTGTGCTTTTCTCTAAAGATTTTTGTTAACATTAAAAATGTGGATCCCTCTATTTGCTATGGTAGTCATTAGCATCTTATCCTAAGTGCTAAAGAGTTCTGTAAATTTAGTCAGAGTTAAATAAAGAATAGCTTTTATTTATTTCCTGAAGCAGAAGGATGGGGAAAGAAGGGTGAGTATGTACACATACAACAGTCCAATGTGGTCTTTACATAGTTTCTAGAGCCCTCAGGCTCCATGTGATGTACTCATCAGCTTCCCATATTAGAGAACTTAAGAGAAATTGTTATACACCTCTGCTGGTGTGATGATAATGTAGATAATACTATAGGTAGGCCCTGCATTTGGATTTGGCAAAGAGCTGAAACAAACAAACAAAAGATAATTTATTCTAAAGTTCCAAAAGCAAGTGTAATACTAGGGGGAAAAGTAAGAAATACCTAAAATCAAGAAAAAGAAATGTAATTATACTTGAAATGATGGTCCCATCCTTCCTAGTGTAAATGATTTTGGACATTGTACAATAAGTTCCAGACAGTTATTTGTACATTCTGTGTTCCATGCTCTATTAATTAACTTCTCTGTAGGTTTCTTATATTTCTTGTCCTGGGTTCAAACTGTTACATGATTCTTTCCTTAAAAATTAAAATATGTGTACTTAAAGACTGCTTTGTGATACTACTTTATAATAGTCAAAAGTTGAGATAGGTATAACTGTTCATAACAGAAGAATGATTGTGTAAATGCAAGTATAGCCATATAATGCACCCTTCATGAAGAAGCAGCTAAATTATTTTGGTATGATGCTAACCAATTTAGAGTAGATTAAAAGTTGTGTTTGTCATGAATAATAATTATCAATAGCTATACATAAGTATTTTTTAAAACGTCTATATATTTTCCTTAAATTCCAAATTTTCTGTAGTGAAAGTACATTCTTTATACTGAAGAGTGAAAAAGTAAAATAACTAGAAAATTGAAATGACTTAAGATGACAAGTAGCAAAACCAGTAAAGCTTTTTTTTTTTCTGGCCAACAGCTTGACAACATGCATGTATACCCCAAAACTTATGAACCTATTCCTGTTCCTAAACGACTTTTCCTTTTATAATTTGCTATTTCTGTATTTAAGACACTCTCTACATTAAGAACAAAACTATTATACACAAGTTAACTACAAACTTATTTTTCTAATGGTTCTTGTTAGTAACAGAAAATCCAGGAAGCATTTGTTTGGCTTTTGAATCCATTATAAGACTTTTAATTTAGTTGTTTTTTTAAGTTCTTTGATTTGTATTCTTGCTTTGTTTAGGCTTAGTCATGAAAGGAATTGTCTAGGACAAAATTAAAAATAAGAAAGTTTGGACATTTTGCTTAACAATCTGACAGAATTTTCTCTTGGCAGTGAAGATGAGTAAGCTATGACTGGAACTATGGAGCTATAATGGATTGAATTTTTTCCCTTCTACATCAGAATTGTCTTCCTAAGTATATCATCCAAATAAAAATTACACATTTTACATCAGCCTTGATTTTGTAATGCATCATTAATTTTATTAACACATACTATTACCATGACATTGATTAACCTTATTCTATAATCTGACAATAACAATTACTAATACATGGTGGTTTTTCTAAGACTACATACATAGCCTTTTAATGTTTTAGCTGAAATTTGAATATTGTATTTAGTAAAATTGTATTTGAACTCAGGTTATACCTTTATATAGTTATTTTTAAATGCTTGTTCTTTATAATCAGTTGGCATTCTAGATTAGTTTCATATATAGGAACACATAGATAGGAACACATCTTCCATATCAACAAAATGATACCTGTCATTATTTAGAATTTAAATAAGTAATTTGCTGCTCATCTACCCAATATGTTTTATACTTATGTATTAAGCCTGCATTTTTATATACAGACTGGAGATGGTAGTGGTTAAAAGGAATATGGAAAAAATCAGTATGTGATAATTAAATTAGCTTAGTTCATAGTCTTAGAATTTAAAACTGTACCAGATGATTGGTTCTGTGTTGCTTGGTTGTTGGTGGTGCTTTCCCGCCAACAACTCCCATTATCCCTGTCAGAAGTAAAGAAAGGTAAATGGCCTGAGTGATTTTAATATGGGAATAAGAACTGCGGAGGAAGATGTCTGAAGGTACTGAGCGAAATAGCTGATTACAGAGTCAAATTACGGGCTGATATAAATTGCTGGACTAAAGATGACTTTGTTAGACCCAAGTTTTAGGGGAGTTGTTGTTTGTGGTGCTGGAGATGGAACCCAGGGCTTTGCTCATGCTAGGCAAATGCTCTACTACTGAACTACAGCCCTTAGGCATTTGTTTTACCTAATAACTACCTCTACTTGGAAAATTCTGTTACTCTAGAATTAAAATCCTTTAAAAAACCCATAAAAATGCAAGCATTATACACACAGTGTTGTAGTTCAAAGGACAAATATTTTCCATTTTTTGTTTCTCTTTTGAGAAAGAAGAAGAGGGCAAACCTTTTGTTCTTTTCATTAAAGTGACCTGATAAATTTTGATGTTGTGAGTTTTTAATATCCACAAACTTAATTATGGGCTGCACTGTTCAAATTGTGCAAGGTTTCTTTTCTTTTTAGACTTTCAAATAGGGACAACAGAAAAATGTAATTTGTGATTTCAAGTACATTAAAAGTGACCTTTTACAAGAAAAAATAACTTACTAAAATGTTTACAAATTTTCACAGTTGGTGTTTGAATTTTACCAATAATAAAAGTTAATGCAAAGACTTCATATCCCCGTTGTAGAATTTTTCACAGAGATAGCAAAAAGTTCATCAAAGAATGATGCATTATCGTCATAAGGATATTGGTAAATGATCTACTTTAATGTAGGAGTTTATTATAATCTGGAACTCAGAAAAGTTAATAATTTATGGTGAAATTTGTCTATATAATAAAGAAGCTTGCTTCATTTAGTCACATAATATATTCCATCAATGAAATCCTTCTAACTAAGGCAACTTACGGGTATGATAATGCTTAAAAATGTATTACATTTCTTCAGGAGGGCAGTGTAGAATCACCTTCAGAACATAGTTGTGCTAAGCAAAGTCGGCTTCTAGTTACATTCACAAAGCTGCAGAGTCTGCTGTCTTCTAAGTACCTAAAAGTTCAAGGTGATCACTTCACCACACACATTGGTTCCAATATCTATTCTACAGATTTTTCATTATACCCTTTCAGTATCTAACAAGCTCTTCACCTATTTCAAGTCAAAGTCATCCCATTTTCTAAACATGTTAGGAATGTGGTAACTGCTTAAATATTATTAATTTATCCTGTCTAGGGTGAGTGTCAAGTTCTAAGGATGATGGTGGGCTTTTAGCTTCATCAGCAATCTGTGTCCTGCTTCAGGTAATGAGAGAAGTGGGGAATATATACAAAAGAAAATGCTTGGAGGAGCATAGGCCTTTGCAGTATGTGTATCTGTGGCTGAAAAATGTCTTTTCAAGTAAATGTGTGAAGTCCTATGCAGTGTATGTGTGTGGAGGGGGTGAGGGATTAGAACTATGTGACTAGTGTAGAATTTGGGTTCTTCTTTATCAAGGACAGTAGCCAGACAGAAAATGCATTTTTTAATCAAGTAACAGTTTTTCTAGTTCTTAGAGAAAATAATTTAATAGAAATGGTAAAGAATCAGATATTCTGTGACATCTACTGATCTTTAGTGCTACAGTTCTGTGATACAAATAAGTTTACATCACACATCCTTTCTGTTCTCTTCATGATGATTTAGGATGCTCCATATGCTTCAAATTAATGATTGTATGAAGATCCTTGACATTTAATTGGGGGGGGGTTCTTTTCCATGTAAAGGCTTAACAAAAAATATTTGGGGATAAACCTGTTTATTTTAAATATACAATTGTTTTATAAACCCTATCTGATTTAATTGGTTTGTAGGAAAATACACTATGCACTGGATACATAGGTCATGTGTAATAAATAAATTTCTAATTTTTATAATATGTAAAGCTTTAAGAAAGTTTTTATAATGTAGATAAACGAGCAATATTCATTGTTGCATTGTGTGTTTCTGGTTACCTCATAAGATAGACTGATTTCTTGAAGAATGTCTGTATTTGATTGTACTTCACTTGTGTTCTTTTTGCCTAGGCCTTTTCTATAGTGTGTATGAGAAAGCTGTCAATCTGTTTGTTTTCATAATACTACCCTTGAGAGACAATGTGAGCTGTCTTCATCTATTATCTACTTTAACAAATGTATAATAGCAGAGAGCTTATCCAAACCAAACACCTCCATGACAACTGAAAGGCATGCACATCTAATAACAGCATCTTTTGGTTTTCTGTTCTAGTGCACTGACAGGCAGAACTCACCAGTCACATCACCAGGATCCTCCCCCCTTGCCCAGAGAAGAAAGCCTCAGTCAGACCCTCTTCAAATCCCACATCTCAGCCTGCCCCCAGTGCCTCCTCGCCTGGATTTAATTCAAAAAGGCATAGTCCGGTCTCCCTGTGGCAGCCCAACTGGTTCTCCAAAGGTGAGTCAGTTCTATTTGAAACACAGCAACTTTAGGCAACAGTTATTGATTGATCAGGTTGTTTGAAATCCTATTACTTATATTTCTTATATTTTTAATTGTTTATGAACAATTTGATGGGTTTCTCATTTTGCTTATGGCAAGGATGCTATCATATTCCTTGTTACTATAATAGTTACGTAACTATTCAGCAAGAGCACGTCTGTAGCCCCCTTACTTGCTAAAATAAATAGCAGTATAAGTATAGTTATTCTGTAAAAATGGATTTAAAAGGTCATTATATGCATTAAAGTAATTTGCATGCTGCTATCAAATGATATTTTACACTCATTTTCATAATGTCATGACAAGAAAAATGTAATGGGAGTATATTTGCATAAGAGCTTAAGGTATGATAAATTATCACCCATGATTCAAGGTGACTCAAGAGAGAATTATATGTAGTTTTTATACCTGTAGGAATTAATTACAATGAATTACAATATTTGCAAAGTAATTACATTACTGTTTAATATTAAAGGTATAATTCTAACTGCAAATTTAAACTTACAGTTTATTTTGGTTTTATGTGGATGCTTTTTTCCAAATTTGATAATAATGTCTTATACTACACTTTATTATATGAAATTTTAAAAATTAATTCCATTTGCTAATATGCTTTATAATCTTAAATGAGTGGGAAAGCCCATATTTTGTTAGTGTCTGCTTTTCCCTTGGTTTAAGCTCGTATGAAGACTTACTAGGATGTGTCTTAGAATATGTAAACACAAAAGCATATTATTTTATTTTTGTGATATTTTCTAATATTAAGAGCAAAAATCATTCATCAGGTGAACCAGGTGAATAAAAATCAAAAGCTATAAAAGGCACACAGATTTAATTCAGAAGTGTATATCCACATATTTCCATGTAAAAACTAGACTGCTTTTATTTCCTTTTAAGTATCATAAAATTTGGGCTGTTGGAGTGGTTCAAGTGGTAGAGTACCTGCCTAGCAAGCAGGAGGCAGTGAGTTCAAGCCCCAGTACTGAGGAAAAAAAGAATCAAAAAACTGAAGGAATTAAGTAAATAAGTCTGCTCTATTATTTGTGATTTTTCACTGTTGTAGTAACTCCTAAAGAACCAAACAAATTTGTCACATATTGATTCCACTGTATTGCAATGATGAAGACAAAAATTTTAAAGACATTTTAGTCTTTCAGAAATATTACCAGTCTAGTTTCTATTGAGAAAAATAAAACAGTGAAACAATTTTGATGAAATTTTCCTATCTCTCCTAAATTATAGAAATGTGTAAATTAGTTAATTATCAGTCTGATAAGTTTCTCATTAAATTTCCAGTGTTTAGTGATGTAACAATAAAAAGAAACAATAAAAGATGACAGAAATCTAAAAATATTCCATTTTGGCTTAAAAAGAAATCACTACTATATTAGTCTGGAAGTCATTTCAGTGTATAGTACAACTTTCAGTTTTGTATTTTGTTTATTTTTTTTTCTCTTCCTGTCTCTTTAGTCCTCTCCTTGCATGATGAGAAAACAAGACAAACCACTCCCAGCACCACCTCCTCCCTTAAGAGATCCTCCTCCCCCTCCACCTGAGCGACCTCCTCCAATCCCACCTGAAAACAGACTGAGCAGACACTTCCATCAAGTGGAAAGTGTGCCTTCCAGGGACCAGCCAATGCCTCTTGAAGCATGGTGCCCTCGGGATGTGTTTGGGAATAATCCGTTGGTGGGATGTCGCATCCTAGGGGATGGCTCTCCTAAGCCTGGAATCACACCAAGCTCAAATGTAAATGGAAGGCACAGTAGAATGAGCTCTGACCCAGTGCTTATGCGGAAACACAGACGCCATGATTTGCCTTCAGAAGGAGCTAAGGTAAGACCTATGCAAAGAAGAAGCGTTAAGAGTCTATCTGTTATTCTGATAGGTTTTATGCCCAGCATAAAACACTGAGCAATGTTTTTGTTCTTTTTTTTTTTAAAAACCTACCTAGTGTAACACTTCTCTAACATCTCTAAATTATAAATAATCAGAAGCTCATTAAAACATAAAAGAAGCCAGTAAGAAAGTTCTAAGTAATTATTTAATTTTAATATATAGCCACTAGACAATTTGCAAGGAATTTATTTCAACCTTCGTTTATGTCACTTACCACAATTTTTTTCCCATTAATAATGTGCTAATGTTAGAATCAACATTTTGTTTTCCTTAACTCTTCTAGTTCTATGAAAGTTGAAAAAATTCATATAATTGTGCATACCATAAATCAGTCATTGGAATTAGTTGTTATTGCATAAGTCAATACACTTTAGGCAACCAAGTAAAATGAAATTTTCACCACCTTAAAGTCATGAAACCTTGTTCACTCTTACAAAGTAAGCTTTTATCCGTAAAATTAAAAGACATTCTCCCATTTACTGAGTTCTCACTTGAAGGATATCTCCACTGTCATTTACAGGAAGGAATTTGAGTGTGTAGGGAATTAAAGAGGTAGCAGCAGAAATCATTGAGTTTAGAAGTCTTTGTAGTCCCTTGACAAAGGCTTACTTTGATAATTTCTGGTATTTGCTTCCATGATGTTTTTGATTCTAAGATTATTATCTCCTTCTGAGGGAGTCTTTGCCTCTTCTGCAAGTTGTAATATTAGAGTGTTTACCATCTCTGTTATTCTTAATCGATTATTTTGGGGAACATAATCTAACCCTTCAACATAAAGGTTTGAAGTTAGTGAATTCATCTTATATTCAGGGGCAAGGAAGAAGTGTCAAATATGAAATAAACTGACTCCTGGGTATATGTTCGCCTGTGTGTGTGTTCTGGTACAGTGATAATCAAAACTTTGTATAACAATATAATCGATATAACAATATATCAGTAATACTCTAGAGTAGCCAAGACAGGAATAATCAGTTCTCAAGTGAAGCATTCCAAACTAGGGAAAGGGGCATGGATGGCTTGCTGTGACCCTTTGCCAATGACTCACCTTGGCCCTGTCATTCTCACCTGCTGTAATTAGGATCTCTAAAGCTTTCCGTGAGGTCACTTAAACATGATAAAGTACCCAGAAAAGCAATTAGTTAATGTTTTCTAAAAGTGGAAAGCCTATCTTCAAAAGAACTTTTCCACAACCTAAAATCCTGACTGGAGGGAATTGCTGTCCTTTTTGTGTGTGTGTTTTTTTCCTTTTTTTCCTCCTTTTGCCTCTGTTCATTCATACATTATCACATTTGTTGGCACAAACTCTAATGTGAACAAGGTGATTCTGCTTCAGCACCATGTTACAATATATTTTCTGAATGAACTTTAGAGATACTTTAGATATAAAAGTTATACATATAATTATATATAAGTATTATTCAATATAATAATTATAGCCAATTCATTGACTTCCTATTTCAGGATTCTTTTATATAATATGTTATAATATGTTTCAGCACTAATCTAAGACTGACTTTCTAAGTCCTAGAACACTGGCTATCAATCTTTTATGGTATGTTATAGTTTCAAAAACTGGGGTGACAATTTATTGTAGGTCTGAAATGTCATGATTATATTAACTATAAATATGAAATATTAACAGTTATACCTATAAAAGTTTCTTTAAATATTGCTGGGTGGATTTTCATGTCCTAGTCATGGACACAGATAGTATACCAGAGAATTGAAATTTTTTCTCTCACTGAAAGCTAGATTTTAATTTCATCTAAAGATTAAGTCTATATTATCCTCATTAAGATTCACTGAGGTCTAATCTCATATATTGTGTCTATCAATATTGCAGTACTTGTATCCTGAAAGCGAGTTTCTTCTGATAAGCAGTACTGGTGTTTCAACCAAATCAGATTTCTAAGATATCTAATTCCAACCTAGTTGTTTGACTTTTAAGGTAGCTTATAAATAAGGATTTATATATCATTAATGCATTAAATGCTATAAAACAGATCATGTCTCCTCTTTTATCATCTTTGTGAGTGAAAAGTGATTCCACTTTTTTTTGAAATATATCTTTTATTCATATGTGCATACAATGTTTGGGTCATTTCTCTCCCCTTCCCCTCATCCCATCCCTTTCCCCTGCCCCTCCCCTCTCCCCCTCTAACTCCTCACTTCCAGACAGAAACTGTTTTGCCCTTATCTCTAATTTTGTTGAAGAGAGAGTATAAACAATAATAAGAAGGACAAAGCATTTTTGCTAGTTGAGATAAGGATAGCTATACAAGAAGATTCCTCACATTGCTTTCATGTACATATGTGTTGCATTCTAAGTTAATTCTTCTTGAACTGACCTTTTCTGTAGTTTCTGGTCCCCTTCTCCTATTGGCCTCTGTCACTTTGAAGTTTCTGCATTAGTTCCTTTGCATTGAGCACATCAAATGTTATCATGTTTTTTGGGTTTCTTACCTATCCTCATACCTCCCTGTGTGCTCTCGCCTTATCATGTGATCAAAGTCTAATCCCCTTGCTGTATTAGCCCTTGATCTAAAGTCCGAATATGAGGGAGAACATATGATTTTTGGTCTTCTGAGCCTGGCTAACCTCACTCAGGATGATGTTCTCCACTTCCTTCCATTTACTTGCAAATGATAAGATTTCATTCTTTTTCGTGGCTGAGTAGAATTCCATTGTGTATAAATACCACATTTTCTTAATCCATCAGTAGTGGGGCATCTTGGCTGTTTCCATAACTTGGTTATTGTGAATACTGCTGCAATAAACATGGGTGTGCAAGTGCCTCTGGAGTAACCTGTGTCACATTCCTTTGGGTATATCCCTAGGAGTGGGATTGCTGAATCATATGGCAGATCTATGTTTAGATTTTTATGAAGCCTCCAAATTTTTTTCCAGAGTGGTTGTACTAGTTTACATTCCCACCAACAGTGTAAGAGGATTTCTTTTTCCCCGCCTCCTCACCAACACCTCTTGTTGGTGGTGTTGCTAATGATGGCTATTCTAATGGGTGAGGTAGAATCTTAGTGTGGTTTTGATTTTGCATTTCCTTTATGGCTAGAGATGGTGAGCATTTTATCACATTTTTTTTGGCCATTTGAATTTCTTCTTTTGAGAACGTTCTGTTTAATTCACTTGCCCATTTCTTTATTGGTTCATTAATTTCGGGAGAATTTAGTTTTTTGAGTTCCCTATATATTCTGGTTATCAGTCCTTTGTCTGATGTGTACCTGGCAAATATTTTCTCCCATTCTGTGAGTGGTGTCTTCAGTTTATAGATCATTTCTTTTGTTGAGCAGAAACTTTTTAGTTTTATGAAGTCCCATTTGTCTATACTTTTCTCTTAGTTGCTGAGCTGCTGGGATTCTACTGAGGAAGTCCTTGCCTATCCTATTGCTTCCAAAGTGTTTCCTACTCTTTCCTGTACCAGCTTTAGAGTTTGGGGTCTGATATTAAGGTCCTTGATCTATTTAAACATAGATCTAGTTTTAATTTTTTACAGACTGCTAACCAGTTTTCCCTACAGCTTTTGTTGAAGAAGCTGTTTTTTCTCCATCGTTTATTTTTAGCTCCTTTGTCAAAAATAAGTTATGTATAGTTGTGAGGAATCATATCCAGGTCCTCCATTCTGTTCCACTGGTCTTCATGTCTGTTTTTGTGCCAGTACCATGCTGTTTTTATTACTGTTGCTTTGTAATATAGTTTGAAGTTGGGTATTGTGATACCTCCAGCATTTTTCTTTTTGCTGAGTATTGCCTTGGCTATTCGCAGCCTCCTGTGTTTCCAAATGAATTTTAGGGTAGAGTTTTCAATCTCTTTGATGAATGTCATTGGGATTTTGATGGGAATTGCATTAAACATGTAGATTGCTTTTTGTAGTATAGCCATTTTTACTATGTTGATTCTACCAGTCCATGGCCATGGGCGATCTCTCCACCTTCTATAATCTTCTTCAGTCTCTTTCTTCAGGGGTTTATAGTTTTCCTTGTAGAGGTCACTCACATCCTTTGTTAAGTTTACTCGTAGGTATTTGATTTTTTTTTTGAGGCTATTTTAAATGGAATTGTCTTCATATATTCTTTCTCAGTTTGTTCATTATTAGTGTATAAAAAAGCTAATGATTTTTGTAAGTTGATTTTGTATCCTGCCACCTTGCTATAGCTGTTGATGGTGTCTAGGAGTTTTGGGGTAGAGTTTCTTGGGTCTTTAAAGTATACGATCATGTCGTCTGCAAATAGGATTTTTTGACAGTTTCTTTACCTATTTGTATTCCTTTTATTCCTTCTTCTTGCCTAATTGCTCTGGCTAGGAATTCCAATACTATGTTGAATAGGAGTGGGGATAGTGGGCTTGTCTCATTCCTGATTTTAGAGGAAATGATTTCAGTTTTTCACCATTAAGTATAATGTTGGCTGTAGGTTTGTCATATATAGCTTTTATAATTGTGAGGTACATTCCTTCTATTCCTAGTTTTCTTAGAGCTTTTATCATGAAATGATGTTGGATCTTATCAAAGGCTTTTTCTGCATCTATTGAGATGATCAAGTGGTTTTTGTCTTTGCTTCTATTAATGTGCTGTATTACATTTATAGATTTGCTTATCTTACACCACCCATGCATTTCCCGGATGAAGCCGACTTGGTTGTGGTGTATGATCTTTTTGATGTGTTGTTGAAATCCAGTTTGCCATTATTTTATTGAGTATTTTCGCATCAACATTCATTAAAGAGATTGGCCTATAGTTCTTCTTTTTGGAGGTGTCTTTGCCTAGTTTTGTGATGAGTGTAATACTGGCTTCATAAAATGTGTTAAGCAGTTTTCCTTCCCTTTCTATGTCATGGGACAGTTTAAGGATGGTTGGTATTAGTTCTTCTTTAAATGTCTTTTAGAATTCAGGAGAGAATCCATCAGGTCCTGGACTTTTCTTT